GGAGTGGGTGTGTGTGACTCAGTGGTAAAGCACTTAAGTACTTGCCTAACATGAATGGGGGCCGTAGGTTTGATCCCTAGCACTGCAAAAGGCGAAAGAGAGAGGAAGAAGGGAAGGGTGGGGGTTCGCTGGGAGTGAGGGAATCAACAGATCATCCCAAGTGGAATAGAAAACTCTTCCCTCAATACCAACTTCTTCAGGCCCCAACAGTGGGAGCCCAAAAGAGCTGTGAGCTAGCAAGGGAGTCCTTTCCAGAAGGAGCCTAGGTGCAGCCATCTCACAGGTAGCTGTCACAGACCTACCTTTTAGAAAGTCAGGGTATCACCCTTGACCCTGACCCAGTAAGAACACCAGGAGCACTAATTTAGATGTTGCTCGGTTCTAGGTTCCCTCTGATCAAGGGGACATGGCTCTGAAGATGATGAGGCTGGTGACTCAGCAGGAGTAGCTGAGCTGAGCTGGCTGGGCCTGGAGACGCTGGAGCAGAGCCTGGGATGCAGACGCTCATGCAGCAAGTACTGTTCTTCCCTGACCCTAATGTGGGACATGACTGTGAGGGCTCATAGCATCTCCCACACACCATAAGATTGTGGCTCGTGTGTCAACTTGGAAATCATCTCTGAGTCTTAAAAAGTGTTAAATTTTTAAAATTGGACTTATTTTAATCAAAATGAAGAATTGCAATAGATCAGCTTCTATTATAAGCAAATGATAGCTCTTGCCTGTAAATCCCAACACTTGAGAAGTGGAAACAAGAGGACCGGAAGTTCAAGGTCATCCTCAACTACACTGTAAATTCAAAGCTGGCCTGCGGTAATGAGACCCCATCTCGAAAAAAGAAAATATGATTTGTAGAAAAGAAAGTGGGAGAAACACATAGAAAATAACCCCCAGAGCCTGTGCCTGAAGGTCTTTTATCTGCCATATATACGTATATATTTTTTACAAAAATGCAATCAGCACTCTATGTTATTTTGCTGTATACTTTGTTCACGTGTCAACATGTCTTACACTGATTTTCCTGCCAGTAAATGTTCTATGATATTTTTAATGGCTGCTGAAAATTCTATTTTGTAATCCTACCATGGTTTGTTTTTTATTTTTTATTTTATATGTATGAGTGTTTTGCCTGCATATATGTAAGTTCGCTATATACATGCAGTGCCTGTGGAGGCCAGAAAAGGACATTGGATCCCCTGGAACTGGAGTTAAGAATGGTAGTGAGCTGCCATGTGGGTGCTGGGAACCAAACCCAGGTCCTCTG